ATCATAGTCCTCCCCACAGTCAGGTGTGTAGCAGAGAAGCAGGAATTACATATCCTTGAGAGATTAAACTTCTATTTTATCTGCTCTTTTGATTTCTGTTAGTATGATATGCTCTGATATAGATGCCCTAACACTTTGCAACAAATTATTGTGCATGTATTAATTATAATACTAGCTAGAGATCTAAACATATACCAGATATTTATGTCTTAACTCTCAACAAAGAAGTCAGTTCTTACTCCAAACTGAGAGGAAACAACATGGACAGCACAAATGGTAGTATTAATACCTCCACTAAGTAGACGAGAAACCTATGTGCAGGAAAATGTAAATTATTGTCCCAGAAGCACTAAGCCTATGTCTAGACACTGTAACCTGGGAAATATCTGAGTTTCTGACTCAGGATGTGCACAAAGGCCATGTCTGGATCACGTTTTGGATTGAAACCCATGTGAATGCCAGCCATCCCTCCCCAGATCCCTGGTTTCCATAAGAAGAACACCTGGGAATGTGAGCCATGCTAGAGCTACAGTGAATCCCAAGAGGTAGCAGTCAAGGAGCTGGATGCAGATGCTGCAGTGCCTTGGCCGTTAGATGTGCTTCAGGCAGAGCCACAAAAAGTATAAATAAAAAGAAAAAATTCCAACCAAAACTGCTAACTCCAGTGCATAGGTGTAAATCTGGCCTCTATGGGCCCAAACATTTAGCAGGATTAAAATGTTCAGACGGTTCTCAATGCATAGAATCATGTGAACAGTTTTTAAATAGGGTAATGGAGAAACGGTTGGAATAGTTCCACTATTGTCCATAGCTGTTTGCTGGATCCTGGGAACAGCACTTCTGCGCAGCCCCCCTTTTCAGTACACAGGGGCACAGAGAAGATTCATTAGACATTTTGGAATGTGTGATGTTTATTTTAACAAATAAAAAGTCTGGTACATCATGGATGTGTTGCTAACAAACTGCTAGATGCTTTAAACCTCCCTGAGTGTATTAAAAAAGAAAACTAAGGGGCACTTCAAACTGAGAATCCTGCCAGTGAGCAGTATCTTTGTTTAGTGCTACAGTAGCAGTGACCATCTAAGGACATAAGGAAGACAAAGTTTATGATCAGATGTAATATATTCTATATTATCCAAATATGGTCTTTGTTACCTCTTCCTACAAATACTGTATCTACATATTTATTTCTGATCTGCACTTTTAGCATAATGTTCTGTAGCTTTTCTTAAGAATTTTTATGATAAACCCAGTGCCCAATATAGGATATTTTATGAAAAGCATCATAAGCATTTGAAGCCAAAGCATTACTGGTTTGGTTTTGCACCTCAGACTTCAATATAGCTGCAGGATTTATGCCTACTCAACTAATCACATCTTTAGAGAGCACATTAATTCAAAAATGCGCCTCAAAAGGTGCAAATTCACAGATGTTAATGATTACGCACATGTTTTCCCTTATTGCTTCAAAGCCAGCAAAGGCCAAATTCTGCTTTAATTTGTAATGCATTGATGAGATTTGGATTAATGAAATGAAAAACCATATTCAGAGACTTGTTTCTGTTTGCAGACAGTGGCGTATTTCTGGACACATCTCTTTGGGAGATAGAAGTTCTACACTCTAGGAAATAAGACAGCAGGAGGGTCAGTCACTAATGTAAAGTCAAAGATGTGCAGGTGAAAAGAGGACCCCAGGGCAGCACCTGGATGTTGGAACCACTGCCTACATGTTATGGAAGAGAAGGGGAAAAAGAGTAAATAAAGTGGTGGGTGAAAAACATTGATACCCAAACAATGCAGTGATGTTTATGTGCTGCACACATTCTGTTACTAAGACTTCACTGTGCCCTATGTATCTATTCACTTAATTTCATGTCTGTCCAAACATGAATTCTTGCTCTAATGTACATTTTAAACAGTATAGTTTCCCCTATATACTGGTACTAACCATCATAGAATCATAGAACAGTTAGGGTTGGAAAGGACCTCAAGATCATCTAGTTCCAACACCCCTGCCATGGGCAGGGACACCTCACACTAAACCATGTCTCCCAAGGCTCTCCCCAGCCTGACCTTGAACACTGCCAGGGATGGAGCATTCACAACTTCCTTGGGCAACCCATTCCAGTGCCTCACCACCCTTACAGTAAAGAACTTCTTCCTTATATCCAATCTAAACTTCCCCTGTTTAAGTTTTAACCCATTACCCTTTGTCCTATCACTACAGTCCCTAATGAAGAGTCCCTCTCCAGCATCCCTATAGGCCCCCTTCAGATACTGGAAGGCTGCTATGAGGTCTCCACGCAGCCTTCTCTTCTTCAGGCTGAACAGCCCCAACTTTCTCAGCCTGTCTTCATACGGGAGGTGCTCCAGTCCCCTGATCATCCTCGTGGCCCTTCTCTGGACTTGTTCCAACAGTTCCATGTCCTTTTTATGTTGAGGGCACCAGAACTGCACACAATACTCCAGGTGAGGTCTCATGAGAGCAGAGTAGAGGGGCAGGATCACTTCCTTCGACCTGCTGGTCACATTCCTTTTGATGCAGCCCAGGATACAGTTGGCTTTCTGGGCTGCAAGCACACACTGAGGCTGGCTCATGTTCACTTTCTCATTGACCAACACCCCCAAGTCCTTCTCCACAGGGCTGCTCTGAATCTCTTCTCTGCCCAACCTGTAGCTGTGCCTGGGATTGCTTTGACTCACTTGTAGGACCTTGCACTTGGCATGGTTAAACTTCATGAGGTTGGCATCAGCCCACCTCACAAGCGTGTCAAGGTCGCTCTGGATGGCATTCCTTCCCTCCAGCATATCAACCGAACCGCACAGCTTGGTGTCATCGGCAAACTCGCTGAGGGCGCACTCAATCCCACTGTCCATGTCAGCGACAAAGATGTTGAACAAGACCGGTCCCAACACCGATCCCTGAGGGGCACCACTCGTTACTGGTCTCCAGCTGGACATTGAGCCATTGACCACAACTCTGCGTGCAGCCATCCAGCCAGTTCTTTATCCACTGAGTGGTCCATCCATCAAATTGATGTCTCTCCAATTTAGAGACAAGGATGTTGTGTGGGACAGTGTCGAACGCTTTGCACAAGTCCAGGTAGATGACATCAACTGCTCTACCCCTGGCCATCATTTTCGTAGCCCCATCATAGAAGGCCACCAAATTGGTCAGGCAGGATTTCCCCTTAGTGAAGCCATGCTGGCTGTCACCAAGCACCTTGTTGTTTTTCATGTGCCTTAGCATGCCCTCTAGGAGAATCTGCTCCAAGATTTTTCCAGGCACAGAGGTGAGACTGACTGGTCTGTAATTCCCTGGGTCATCCATTTTCCCCTTCTTGAAAACGGGGGTTATATTTCCCTTTTTCCAGTCATCGGGAACTTCACCTGACTGCCATGATTTCTCAAATATGATGGGCAGTGGCTTAGCAACTTCATTTGCCAGCTCCTTCAGGACCCGCGGATGATTTCATCAGGTCCCATGGACTTGTGCACGTTCAGCTTCTTAAGATGGTCTCGAACCAGACCCTCTCCTACAGTGGGCCCAAAGTCTTCATTCTCACAGTCCCTGCGTCTGCCTTCCAAGACTTGGGTGGTGCAGTCAGAGCCTTTGCCAGTGAAGACTGACACAAAGAAGTCATTCAGAACCTCAGCCTTCTCCAAATCCTGTGTAGCCAGTTCTCCCGAGAGCTTCCAGAGGGGGCCTATGTTCTCCCTAGTCTGTTTTTTATTTGCTATGTACTTGTAGAATCCCTTCCTGTTATCTTTCACATCCCTAGCCAAGTTTAATTCTGACCGGGCCTTAGCTTTCCTAACCTGGTCCCTAGCTTCCCGGACAACATCCCTGTGTTCTTCCCAGGCCGCCTGTCCTTGCTTCCACCTTTTATAAGCCTCTTTTTTTTCCTTCGAACTTTCCTCAGGAGCTCCTTATCCATCCAAGGAGGTCTCCTGGCCCTCCTGCTGCACTTCCTTCTAGATGGGATGCAACACTCCTGAGCTTGTAGCAGGTGATCCTTGAATATCAACCAACAGTCTTGGGTCCCCCTGCCCTCTAGGGCTATATCCCATGGAACCTTACTAAGCAGGTTCCTGAAGAGGCCAAAGTCTTCTCTCTTGAAGTCCAGGGCAGTGAGCTTGCTGCACGCTCTTCTCACTGTCCTGAGGATCTCAAATTCGACCATCTCATGATCGCTGCATCCAAGGCTGCCCTGGAGTGTCACATTTCCAACGAGCCCTTCCCTGTTGGTGAGCACGAGGTCAAGCATGGCACCTCTCCTTGTCGGCTCCTCTATTACTTGCAGAAGGACGTTGTCTTCCACACAATCGAGGAACCTCCTGGATTGCTTGTGCCGGGTCGTACCGTCCTTCCAACAGATGTCAGGGTGGTTGAAGTCCCCCATGAGAACAAGGGCCTGTGAGCGTGAGGCTTTTCCTATCTGTCTATAGAGTGCTTCATCCATCATAAGGTAAGACACTGAAACACAAAAAAAAAAAAAAAAAAAAGAAAAAGCCCCTCTATACAAATATGTGTGGTCATAAGTAGTTTGATAACAAGAAACGTGTGCCCTATGAAGTTTTCATACGCTTTTCTTTTTTCATAGCTGATGTAAACATAAGGGCTTGTTCAACTTCTTTCTGCAGGACTGGTAAGAAAAGGCTAGGCTTCCAACCCCCGATCTGTGATTGGATTATATACACTATTGGATTATATACACTATTGCACTTTCCATTCACATTAGAAAGACCCACTAGATAGATACTAACGATTTTCAGACTTTAAGTGTTTAAATACAAAGCAGCTAGACCCAGGGCATCTGCCCTTATCTCTGCAATAGCCCCTTTTAAGGGTCAGTTTCTATTTTCTATAAGTGGAATTTAATGCCTGTAGTAATACACATGCACACAAAAGTTTTTCCTGTCTCTTTGACATCAAAACAAAAACCCAGTGCTATGGCTAAAGGCACTACCATAAGACATAAAGCTGCTACTTCATACAGCTTGTAACTTACTGCATGACTGATTTCCAACATGAGCCCATGCAAACTGTTGTATTAGTGCCTTTTGGGAAGGGCACTCCTCACTCACTCCTTCGTGGTGACAGTTACACAATGAACATGAGTCCTGGCTCACTACACAGTAGTTTTGTAATGATGGCCACTGTCCAAATGCCTGATATACCTAGCATCAGAAAGTAACTCAAATTCTTTTAGTTCATGTCTTTGGTCTGGAAATTTATTCCCCTCTTCAGTAGTTGTTAATGACAGGATAACATTTTTCCTTTCTAATCAGCCACTTACAAGGTTACCTCATTTCCCCCCAGGTCATCTAGTGTTAAAGCATATGCATTTATGATTAGCTGCATGCAAATACATGCACCCTGCTTTGTGTATTGCAGTACATCACTGAGGTATGTTACTGAAGCATCAATATTCACATTCAGGCTAATTTAGCAGTTTCACTTGCTAACGATACTATATACTTACAGAACATTTTCTGTCTGGGAATGAAGCAAGATTTTTAGGAAGCTTAAGAAAACAAACATTTAAGTCTACTGAACTGTGTTCTTTCAGTGTTCTAATCAGAATTCACAGAATTTTGGAGGCTGTAAATAAACTGTATTTTGTCATGACAAGGCACTGTGTAAGTTTTATGAAGCTAAGCTGTTCCCCTGATGCAGCAGTGATCTTGAATCACCAGGCTGAAATAGTTTTGCCACTGTGAGACTCAGCTTGACGGGGAGAGAGGGCAACAGGCACCTGGATTCATCACTGCACTTGGTGCAGACAGCGTTTAAGAGGCTTGGGCTAAAGAGAAAGACTCTTTATGGCTTTCACATCTGCCTAAGTGGAGTTCACAGCAGGACTGGGCCCAAAAAGACCTGCTTCTCATATTATGCAGTATCACTGCAGGCAAAGGAAGTGGAGGAACCAGATTTTCAGACACTACAAAGGGCACTATTGTGTGAACACTCTGGGAGCACTGAAGGGAGAGGTCCAATCCTCCATGGCATTTTTACAAGTGCTTAATTTCAAACATGCGAATAACCATACTGATGTCAGTGAATAGCTTATGAACTTAAAATTAAATGCATGCTTTGTTAGATTAAGGCTAGGGCACAGTCCTACCAAATTTAGCCCCTGGTTCTTTCTAACTGTAAAACTAGGCCAACCTGTCCCTCGCCATTCCCTTCTGCAGTGGTGATTAATTTGCAACAAGTTGGCCTCCTATATGACTTTTAAATTGTTTTAAAAAAAGATGTGTGACAACCACTTAGATGCAGCATTGACAAAACTAACACTAGGTTTTGCTAATACGCTATTGCCTGCGCTGGCCTTTCATGTGGATGAATATTGCACAGATATGTGTCGCTTTCACTACCATGAATCATGATTCATGCTAACAATTTGGCAGGAGCACACCCATGCCTGAAGTCATCTCTATGACTACCAAAACACAGCTCAGAATATGCTTTAGTGATATGGCAAACACTGTGTGAAAAGAGTCACATCTGTTCACTCTGGGTCCCCACCGGCATCAATACATTTGACTTCCATTACAATTTTAAAAGTATCTTTGGAGGGAAGTGATAGTAACTGGGTTTATTTGAGGTCTCATCAGAGATGGGATATTTTTTTCTGAGTTACCCCGAGCATTTGGTCAATGCCATTTTTTCTACTTCTACCTCTGTTATGTTCAACTTGCAGTCTATTAAAAGAACAATTTCAGTCTTTGAAACACAGGGATATATAACCACAAAGATGAGGCAACGAGACAGGAATTTGCAATACTGTTATTGTAAGTATTTTCTCATGGAAAAAAACTCCAAACACAACTGCACACTTTGGTGGACAGGCTACGAGCAGACTCCGCTTTCTGCATTCATTCTGAGAATGCATTCAGTGAGGTGAGATAATAAATCATGTCTCACAGTTAATTTCAAGGTCAATTTTAGGCACCCGAGTCTGACTGAGCGGCTCGCTCAACAGCCCAGAGGAGCCGCGGCTTGCGGGACTGGGGGGACCTCTCGTGGTGGAGACCGGGGAGCAACCCCTGGTCCTGCGCTCCCTGGCGCCCACAGTAAAGCTCTGCCTGCGGGAGAAGCCGCGTGGGAATGAGCAGGGGCATCAAGCGCGAATTAGCAAGAAGAAATCGAAAGTGTTGCCAGCGCCGGGCACCTAGCTACATTTAAAACTTACTGCGTGAAAGCTCATACTTTTCTGAGTTACTGGTGCCTATCTTCACTGTCCATCTATTCAGTCCTTTCGGTGACACGCAGACCCAACAGAAGGGTTTTTCCATCCCAGTGTGAGGGACATGCTCTTTCATCCTCCCTCAGGCAGCCATGCTGCAATTCTTTCTCTCTGCCTGTAATACTAGTTTTGTGGAATTAGGAAAAAAAAAAAGAAAACAAAAAGGTGATTTTATGCATATATAATTTACTGTATTTTGTTTTCTTCACTGCATTCTGTTTTTTTTTTTCTCCCCTCAGAAGAAAGTTACCTTTGAGTTTGAAAAACAGGGCTGGAAGACCTCTGAAGACAGAAAGCACACCTCTCTGGGCAGCCTGGGCTTCTGCTTGGGTGTCCTCATGGAGGGAAAACTTCTATTCAGTTGTTGCGTTTTAACCCTGGCTGTCAAATGAGCACCACACAGGCACTTGCTCACTTACCCCCAGTGGGATGGGGGAAAGAATCTGAAAGGTAAAAGTGAGAAAGAAATGTAGGCTAAGATAAAACCAGTTTAATAATGAAAAATATATTCTTTTTTAAACTGTGAGGGAAAAAAAACACCAAAATGAAGTGAAGCAAGTGAAAACAACCACTCAGCACCAACCAACTGATGCCCAGCCAGTCTCTGAACAGTGGCCTCCTGGGCAATCTCCATCCCCAGTTTAACTGCTGAGCACGATGACATATGCTGTGGGACATTGCTTTGGTCAGTTGGGGTCAGCTGTCACGGCTGTGTCCTCTTCCAGCTTCTTGTGCACCCCCAGCCCACTTGCTGATGTTGCGGTGTGAGGAGCAGAAAAGGCCTTGGCTCTGTGAAAGCACTGCTCAGCAGTAACTAAAACATCCCTGTGTTACCAGCACTGTTCTCAGCACAAACCCAAAGCATAGCCACATACAAGCTACTATGAAGAAATGTTAACTCTATCCCAGCCCAAACCAGTGCATCAGTTTTAGTCTCTCCTCTTTGAACATATACCTGCTGTTTCTCATCTTCCTGTCCTGCACTGATGTGAACAGCCTGGATCCTTCTCCTCAGGGACTGTTGGCAGTGGGAGCTGCTGTTAGGTCCATGAAGCTCTATCTGGCCAGGCTGAACAAGCCCATTCCCCAGCCCCTCCTCACAGGGCTAGTGCTCCAGGCACCACTAGTTTGGTGGCCTCTGCTGAACTCAATCCCTTTAGTCAATGTTTCTCCTGTACTTGAGGCCCCAGATTTTTTTGAAGTAATCTAGATGTGGTCTAATGAGTGCTGAGTAGAAAGGGATAATCATTTCTGTGGTCTCTGGCTCTGCCCCTGTTCATGCAGCCCCAAATGCTGTTGGCCTTTGCTGCTGCCAGGGTCAATGATGGCTCATGCTGCTCACCAACCTCCAGGGCTTTCTCCATAAGACTGACCCAAGAAGGAAAGAATCAGCCTGTACTAGCGCCAACCCTTCCTTTCCAGGCACAGGACTTTGCATTTGTCCTTGAATTTCATGAGGTTGGACCATTCCTCCAGCCTGCCTAGGTCCCTTTGAATGGCCTGCTCTCAAGTGTATTCACTAATCCACTCAAACCGATGTCGTCTGCAAAGTTGGATTAGAAATAGATCCATGCATGTAGGCAATGCTACGGGGTTTTTTGCAGAGGAGCATGAGCTCACTCTTTCCCTGCTCCAAGTGTTTTTGTGGCATTCAGCCTAAGCTAATACACTTTGCCTCTCAGCAGAGTTTAATAGCTTGGGATCAGGATTGTGCTAATCACAGCTAAATGGCTTTTGGTTCAGAGCACAGGAAAGTTGAGCTGTGTCTGCTCAAACATCCAGTGTGAGTATAGTATGTAAGTCCACCAAAACGTGTTGTCCATTAGCTCTGATGGAGATCTTGAAGGAGGAACTGGCAAGCCTGAACAGTGGCACAATGACGTAGATCCAAACCCAGGGATGGTGAGAAAGCTAAAAATGAGAATACTAATAAATCTGAAGTTACTTACAAGAATGCTGAAAAATCATTATCACCAAAACTGAGGACATGTTATCCTCTTTGTGCTACAGAACAGCATCACTCTTCATGATTTCCAGCACTGTTCCTGGCATTTTGAATAATACATGTCCCGGCCATTCAACAACAACTCCCCTATCTTTTGGCAGGCTTTTGGGTTGTGTGAGTGCTCATGGGCATTGACAGAGCTGTGCACGAAAGAGTTTCCAAGCATGCTGGCATTGCAGCTGATGGCAGCCTTGATTCAGGAGGGGCTACACCAAAGACAGGCATGTCAGACTTCTGATACAAGCCTATGATAACCTAAACAGATGTTTGGAAGTGCAATGCTGGCAGTTAGATGTTACGCAGAAAGAAGCTGAGGCTTAGATGAATTAATACTCTCTGAGGAGATTCCCGTTAGCTTCCAAAGGACTCCTGTTAGATGCAGAAAATTAGGGTGGCTGACAAAATGCACAGGCATGAAGGGAATCCATATATTTACAGGGATGACAAAAAGCATATAAAGGAAGATGAACAAGATTTTGTCCAGGAGTGAGTTGTCTGAAAGTGAGACTAGTGTACTGGTTCATGACAGAGGTGAAATGGGAGATAAAATGCAAAACTGTTTATCAAGAATTTTATGAAAACTGATTAAGGAAAATTGTTTGAGAAGGAAATACTTCTTAAATTATGCTCAAGGATAAATTTCTGTCAACCCCCTCCCCCCCCGCCCGAAAATGAAATGTTGAATGGCCACATAAAAAAGGATAAAAATGCATGCAAAAAGGAGTAGAGCATTTCTGAATGAGAAATTAATACTGTCCAGCAGCTTAAACTACCTTCTGCTTCCTGGATATCCAAGGGTATTACTAATGATTGGTCATCTTTCTTCTTTACCTTCCTTTGATAAACAAATTAAGTAGCTTTAATCTCTTCTTTCAAGGTGAATGCTGTCTTCTAACTGTATTGCCAGGGCTTCCCTGAATTTGTTCTCTGCATTTTCTTAGCATCCCACTTAAGCAGGATTAAATCAGAATCACGTACAATCTTGCAAATAGCTCTCACTAACTAATAACTTCCCATTTTCTGTCTCCTGTAGGTCACACTTTCCTTCTTCATGGCTGTACCATACCAGCAGATAATGGCTATCAATCATCAACCTTTACGGTAATGATTATGATTATCAAATTATTTTACAAATTTTTGAAACATACCTATAAATAAAATACATAAAATTACCTTATATTTATATAGAATATATACATAATATATATTAGATGAATGTTTCACATGTAATTTTATTATTATTATTATAATAATTAATAATCCTTTATCTGACTGCAGGATGGAGGCAAGGTGCAGGCTTGTTGACACCGCAGTCTGACTCATGCTACCAGTCTGTCTTTAAAACCCAGTTTAACACCTGCCATTTCTCACAGCTGGCTCTTCTCTTCTGTCATGGTCCACAGTGAGCAGGTATAAGCGAGAAAGATGAGAGGTCCCTGAAATGTTTTCCATAACTTTACTTATATCTGTTGAGGTGTCTGTAAATTGTTACACATATGGGTCTTTTCATCTTTCTCTCAGCCGCTCTCTCACTCCTCCCCTTTCTCCCCCCTGCTCCTGGAAGGGTGGTGAGGAGAATTGAGAGAATGTAACTCCCACAGGTTGAGATAAGAACAGTCCAGTAACTAAGGTATAACACAAACCACTGCTGCTGCCACCAACAATAATAATGATAAGGGAAATAACAAGGGAAGACAATGCAACCGCTCACCACTCACTGATCGATACCCAGCCAGACCTGAGCAGTGATCTAGCCTTTCCGGGTAACTGCCCCCAGTTCTACATCCTGGGCATGACGTGCTGTGGCATGGAATACCTCTTTGGTCAGTTTGGGTCAGGTGTCCTGTCTCTGCTTCCTCCTGGCTTCCCCTCCTCCCTGGCAGAGCATGAGGCTCACAAAGTCCTTGGTCAGACTAAACATTATTGAGCAGCAACTAAAAACATCAGTGTTATCTGTTCTGTTCCCAGGCTGAAAGTCAAAACCACAGCACTGCCCCAGCTACTAAGAAGGAGAAAAATGACTGCTACTGCTGAACCCAGGACAGTATCTACCCCTTATTCCACACCATTCACGTCATGCTCAGATCTCACATTTTCAATATACCATCACTCTTATCATATATATATACATATACACATATATATACATCCACAGAGAGAGAGAGAGAGAGATATTCCTTAATGCATGGACCAATCCCTATAAAGCTTCTCAGTCCATCCAGTCCATGACATCGGGCTCCATCTCTTGTAACAGTCCTTCAGAGCAGGAGAGGCTCTGTGCAGTGTTCACACTTATGAATAACTAGGGCAATAGTGTCCATTGCTAAGTCCACCCCTTGATCATGAGTCCATCTCTATGTTGCATCTCTGCCCTGATGGCCTGAAGTGCCATGGGCCCACCAGGCTCAAAATAATTCACCCTTCCCTTCAGCAGTTTCTGCAACTTGTTGCTGGGGACTCCATAGAGCTGCCTTCCATCTCCGACGCTTCCAAAGCACTGGAGGGGCCCAGTGGACTAGATACTTGCCCATACTGTCCCACACACCCTGCCCCTCATGACTGTCCAGGCTTGGGGAAAACCTCTTGGTCCCTCTGCGTCGTCGTCTAACCCCAGACAAGACCCAAACACAACTTTGCTTAACTTTCGAGATCACATAAAATAGTCATGGGTAAACATGCTCTGTATGTGTGCCAACATGCTGATCCCCATCACAATCAGCAGGCAGGTCTCAAGGGTACCCAAAGGCCATTCAAAACCTTCAGAACTCTCAAACGATGCTGCTGTACTTGTCACTGGGGCTGGTGGAGCTGCTGTGCTTGGAGTTGGAGTAGCTGCATTATCTGTTGCAGTCAGAGCTTGCGTAGCTGCTGTAATCATCACTACAGTGTGTGGGAATATCTCCCTCATAGGCTGATCACCTGAGAAGGGGAAAAAAGATGTGTAATTGCTATACACTTCTATTATATACCTCCCAAAGTGCAGAGGTAGTGACCACACTGGGAATGCAAGCCAGATCAGTCTCATGATCAATAATTCTACTGTATTACAAGTCATTACCATAAAGTACAATGAAACAAGAACCTTAGCCCAAGGCCCTCAGCTGATAAACACTAACACAGGAAATACCGGCTGTAAAGTAAGGTGCGACATGCTGAAACTGTGAGATCAAGAGCAAAAACATTGAGAGCTAACAAATCAGCATTGTGATGAGCGACTATTAATCCAAATAAATGAATGCTTATCACAAAGACGATTAGACATGCTCTGGTCAGGTCTGTCGTTATCTCAACCCTTCATGCACCACGTTGGGCGCCAAAAAAGAACTGTCGTGGTTTAAGCCCAACTGTAACTCAGAACCATGCAGCCGCTCTGTCACACACCCCCCCTTTCTCCACCCCCCCCCGCTCCCAGAGGGATGGGGAGGAGAATCAAAAGAATGTAACTCCCACAGGTTGAGATAAGGACAGTTTAGTAACTAAGGTATAACACAAATCCCTGCTGCTACCACCAGTAATAATAATGATAAGGGAAATAACAAGGGAAGATAATACAACCGCTCACCAGTCACTGATTGATACCCAGCCGATCCAAGCAGTGATCTAGCCCTTCTGGGTAACTGCCCCCAGTTCTACATCCTGGGCATGATGTGCTGTGGCATGGAATACCTCTTGGTTAGTTTGGGTCAGGTGTCCTGTCTCTGCTTCCTCCTGGCTTCCCCCCCCCCCTTGGCAGAGCATGAGGCTCAGAAAGTCCTTGGTCAGACTAAACATTACTGAGCAGTAACTAAAAACATCGGTGTTATCAGCGCTGTTCCCAGGCCGAAAGTCAAAACCACAGCACTGCCCCAGCTACTAAGAAGGAGAAAAATGACTGCTACTGCTAAACCCAGGAGAACCTTAAGTGGTCAATTTCATATATGACTATGTATATAGTACATACTATAAATCTATGTGTATATATGAACCATATACTGTTCCTAAGAAGCAGCGTAGATGCAACTCTGAGTTGCACACTCATGGTCTAAACACTACAGCCATACTGTCACTGCTACGACATGACTTCAGCCTCCTGGAAGTATCTGCTTCTACAAAGCTGGTTCTTCATGGTGCTGTCTTGTTAGGAGCCTGAGCTGAGGTCTTTATGAGTGTATCTTCCATGGCCTTTTTGCCCCTAATATAGAGTTTTGCTCCTCCATCAGTTTTGGCAGTATTAATCATAGGAAAAGCCCATCTCCAGAATCTGAGCACCAAAGCCAGCTCTCCACATCAGCTATTCCCCAGCTGCCTAAAGGAATCAGGGAGGGCTGTTGTGTGCTGCAGTAGTTAATATGACCCTGAGCAAACTGGGTCAGTCAGGCTGCACAGCTCTGGCCAGGCTGTGTGCCATGGACTGACAGAGCTGGCATTTATATTTTAGTTAGGGGGCGAATAGGTTTCATCATTGTATTTTTTTATCCTGCTTGGAATTCTTAATTGATAATCCAGTCTTTTCATGACTCCTCCTACCCAGATGACATGCTAAGTTTTCTATTATCAGTGTGGTACAAATGCGTCAAAATATGTTTTTCTTATGCATCCATGAATATCAGAAATATGCATATATATACTTCAATGATGAAAATTATAGTTCATGAAAAAGCAGCATGTCAAACTAATCTGAGCCTAAATTAAATTCTGAAAGGGCTAAAATATTCTACACAATTGGTGGTGCTGACACTAATAGCCTGTCCTGGCAATATACTAATCATTCTGGCCCTAGAAGACCAGGCTGGTATTTTAATCACCCAAACACTAATAGCCTGGCCTTGTTGGCATTCTAATTGTTATGGCACTAATAGCCTGGGAAAGATGGTATTTTAAT